GCAATTACAGTAAAAATAACTGAGAGCGTTTTTAAATTAAAATACTACTACTTTTAATGATTTTAACATGAATGTATATCTTGCGACATTTAACGGTAGTGTTGCGACATTTAACGGTAGCGGAAATTCGTGCGACATTTAACGTTAACATTGCGACATTTAACGGCAAATGATTTGCGACATTTAGCGGCAGTTGCGACATTTAGCGGTATTGGTGCGACATTTAGCGGTAAGTGCGACATTTAGCGGTGTTGCAACATATAACGGCGCCACACACTGCAAGACAATAAATAAATGAATAAAATTAATTAATTAGTTAATTAATTAATTGCAAGACACTGCAAGACAATAAATAAATAAAATTAATTAATTAATTAATTAATTAATTAATTAATTAATTAATTAAATATGCAAGGTAAAATAGGCAAGGCACTGCAAGACAATAATTAAATAAATAAATAAATTAATAATAAATAAATAAACAGATAAACAAAAATAAATAAATAAATAAATAGATAGATAAATAAGTAAATAATAAATAAATAAATAAAAAAAAAAAAATAAATGAATGAATGAATGAATGAATGAATGAATGAAGCTTTTCTTTTTTGTGTGAATATTCTGAATACTTGCTTTACTGGCTTAAACTATTTTATTTTTTTACTTTATCAGAAAGGTTTTTCATATTTGTGCAACACATGTGGTCGTGAAACTTTTGTGCTATGAGAAGAAATTCTTGGATTTATATAACGTAATTTGATATAAAGACACAGCACGATAACATAGCTGATAAGCCCAGCCTGCTATCTGATAATACATCTCTGATAAATTCTTATCTTAGAATGTTCTAAACTGCAGTAAACAGAATTGAAATTTGATGCTTATAGAAAGTAAATAGTTCTACAATTTTGCCCCATTTCTATTGGCATAGCATTTCCAGTCTATTTATTCAATCTCTAAATAATGTAAACAAAATATTGGACCAAGAACTGTATATCTAGGAATTATGATTTTTTACGACTACGTTGTAGCTTTCGCATACGTATATAAAACATATGTTGTTGTTATAATTTGTTGAACAAAAAATATATATAATTTGAAGAGAAAAGTGTTATAGAGGAATAATTCATAAGTAGATTATATGTATATTTTTTCTGTATATTTAATATGCTAGAAGAGCATTCGGTAAAGTAACTACTTAAATCATTGAAAGAAGCTGTAAATTTTACCAGTTTTTCAATAAAAAATGCTCGAACAGTAAAGATATAAAAGATGAAAGTTGTTTTACTGTTGGTGTGTTACGTAATTGTTTTAAGTGACGGATTTACGGAATTTAATCAGGACTATGACGATGATGAGGAAGTTGTAATATTCAATTACAATCAATATCTACAGAAACCACATTCTACGAGAGTGGACTCTAAATCTAAAGTAGAAACGCTCGGAAATATCCTAAAAGGTGAGTTGAATTATTAAAATAATAAATACAATATATATATATTTTTTTTAAAGAATAAATAAATAAATAAATAAATGAATGAATGAATGAATGAATGAATGAATGAATGAATGAATGAATGAATGAATGAATGAATGAATGAATAATAAAATGAATGAATAAATAAATATTTTTTAAAAATAATTTTTAAATCTTTTTTGAATAAAAAAAATGTAGTTATAAAATAGAGAACACCTTAAATTAATGCTTATAATGGTTTGCATGTTATTTATGTTATTTACATGATTCTTTACATGATTCTAAAACATATATAGGTTTGCGATAACAAAAAAAGACAACAAAAAGATGGACTCTCAACTAAAATACAAATGATATATAATAAGACATGCAAAAAATAAACAAAATCTATATACATGTAAATAGGAGACAAAACGCGCAATTTTCAGACAAAAAATCCTTAAAAAAGAATGCTCACGCTCAGCTCACATAGTTTCATATGTTGTTCACTAAAGAGCCCACATTTCTGTGATATCAAAAGCGCCAAAGTCACATATCTTTGTTACGTACCATGCGTTACATACGCACTGCATGTCCTTACCCGTACCAGGTAGTTAAAATTTGGGTGTACAATTTATACCTCACACGTAACGAAAAAAAGAGCAACACAAAAATTCGAGTGCCGGTAATTGTCAATAAACACATTCTTTAAACTGTCATTTTTTTTTCAAGAAAATGAACTCTTGACTTATTTTATGCTTATCTTTCACAGGCCACATTCAAGATCTAAAGAAAACAGCCAACAAACAAATTGATTTGGTATTTCTAGTAGACAGTTCTACAAGTGTCGGGGAAAACAACTTTAGAGAAGAAATCAAATTTGTTAAACAACTTTTGTCAGATTTTACGGTTGATGTAAATCACACACGCGTCTCGGTTATTACGTTTTCCTCACGTGGGCGCGTGATACGTCACGTGGACTATTTAGCAGACGACCACAAAGACCGTCACAAATGTTCCCTCCTTCAAGAAGATTTGAAGAAAATAACATATTCAGGCGGAGGTACCTATACCCTAGGAGCTCTCTTGGAAGCAAAGGTAAATTTTGTTAGAATTAAATTAAATAATACTGTACCAGCACATGTGTACTAGGTTAAAATCTGAATATTGAATTTAGTTTTAGGAAAGCCAAATTTACAAGACATTTAAAGGCTTAATGCAATTAGAGTTTCACTTTTATTGAATTTTGAGAATTCCGATTAGTGTTCCATTAAACTAAGTTAGGACCTTCTGATAAGTGCGTTATGTATATTCTTTAAAATTGTTAAGGTCACAAGGACGCTGTATTTGGAATCCAGCCCGGCACGTTGAATATTTTCATATAAGGAAGCTATCCAGCTAACTTCGAAAGGTCTGTGGTTCTACAAAATATAAATTACCTCTCGCACCTGAAATAATTCTTCAACAATGAAAGATGGAAGGTCGCCCAAGGAATTTAGAGTGTGTGTGTGAGACAAAGCAAGAGTTGTTCAAACAAAAAAGTAATTTAGCATCAATTGAGTTAACTCTATAAGCATATGTTATAATGTACATTAAATCTAATCAATGATTATTTTTTGCATACTTGTTTTTTATTACCATCCTAAAATATGTTTTTTATTACCATCCTAATATATGTATTAATACCTTTTTAACTCTGTTTCATGAGGACGATTCATCTTTAAGCTTATTTCTTGGATGATAATGAAATAAAAATACTTACTCAGGGTAGATCAATTGATCTTTGAAAATACATGTAATTGATTAATAAGTCATGGCGGTGTTTCTATAGCTGAAAATGAATTATGGTAAAAAGAACAACAAACAAACATAAACAAAGAAATAAACAATAAAAAGGAGTGTTCAAGTAATGTTTGTAATAACAACAATGATCGCGCAATATGTTTTTTTTCTTTACCATACCTGTAAATTTAGCTGCACTCGTGTCTAATGTTACAAAGTTGGATACTGCTTAAGGTGGGACGGGGGAGGGGAACAGGGAGGGGCGTCTATTTGTTATTGTTTTAATTGCTTACGAAACTAAGGATTCCAGAAATATGAAAATGTAAAATGGAATGAAATATAAAGGAGCTTTATTTATGTAACCGGGGATGATTGAAGACTTGCTTCTATTTCATCATTTTATTGTTGGACACACAAAAACGAGCCTACAAACAAAATACTTAGGATTTGCAAATAATTGATTTACAAAATAATAAAATTACACATTTCATCCAAGTCATCAATGGGAAATAATATGACATTACAAATATATAAATTCTTTCCAGGATCAGCATACAAAAACTTTCCATAAACGATGATCAAGTTTACTATTAAGCAACTACTAATATCAACAACTATACTGGAAAGTAATTTATCAGTTACTCGTACTATGTGGAACTGGTGAAAGGAAATATTTACTTAAGCAAGAAAATGTTTCGCGGGGATTTTAGGGTCATGCACGTGAAATATTAGTGAACACATTCATACAACCTTTCAACTCACAGTGACCTCTCTTACAAAACAGACTATACAATAACGTTACCATAGTTAGGCAAACAAACAACGACACAACAGTTACTTAGTCAAATACCAACCAAATACAACATAACACGGAGGATACAATATACCAGTGATAAACAGAAAACGATACACAGGTTACATTTATTTTATCCTGTAAATAATTTAAAGAATGGTCAGTGATGACGAGCGAGTAAAATCCATAGTATGTATGACTTAGTAGTATGAATTAGGACATATTCAATTAAATGAGATATACAAACTCTCATTTTGTGTTTCATTATTTTTAAAACCACAATTGCATTGTCCAATTTAGGTACTCAACTCGCTTTCTTGCCATTTTTATTATCCAGAAAGTCTTGACAAATGCCAGAGAGACATCGAACAAGGCGATATTTTTAGTAACAGATGGCTTCTCTAACGGCGGTAACCCTAGACCGGTTGCCCAAAGTCTTAGGCAACAGGGAATTAAGATATTTACGTTTGGAATACAGAACGGGAATGTAAGAGAACTGTATGACTTTGCTTCTCATCCAAAGAACGAGTCAACCTACATTCTAGACAGTTTTGAGGAATTTGAAGCACTTGCAAAAAGGGCTCTACATGAAGGTATGTTATTATTTTCCGTTTCTGTTATATGCTATGAAATATGTCTATATTAATAATATATACAAAATTTGGAACACCACTTTATATGCTGACTGTCAACTTTTCTTTATATATATATATATATATATATATATATATATATATATATATATATATATATATATATATATATATATATATATATATATATATATATATATATATATATATATATATACATGTTTATCATGTGACAAGATTATAATTACTTGCGGCTTCCGTGGCCAAGTGGTTAAGGTTGTTGACTTAAAAAAAATCCCGCCAGAAACTCATGATGAGGAATCTATGCAGTTAGCTTACGGAACTTCGATGGTTCTACTCAAGTGCCAGTTTGTGCCTAAAATAATACACAAACGGACTTGTTCTACAAGCTGGAAAATCAGGCTTAGCTATAAGTAATTCATATTGTTTTAGATTCAATTGTTCATTAATTCAATAAAGATTAGTTTAAGGAAGAGAATCATTCTAAAACAATTTAATCCTGAGAAATTAAATGTAATTCAGAATTTCAGACCCATTAGAAACGTGTTTTATGTAGACTACTTTCCAATGATACCCGGGTTTGAATAATCTTGATAAAGCAGAAAACCTGAGAAATATGTATACCCATGTCCGTGTATACTGACATCATTTAGCATATTATGAATAGCAAGGTTATCTCCCTCTTGAAGTTCTAACGCCGCAGTCACGCTAGATGTCGCGTCTTGCGTGTCTGTGCCGTAGAGATATATGTAAGCAACGCCTTTTCCATTCTGTACCATCAGACAGTGTATAGTTCCACTATTAACGGTCATTAGTGTCACCGAAAACACGTACGTTCCACTTACCGGAGCTCGGAAATCCCCTGTGTGGTTGTTATAAGCATTTCCTATGTTTGTAATGACGTGGTCGAATATCAACGGTTGGTTAGGAGAAAGGTGTTCCAAATGATGACTTCTAATTGTTGCGAAAAATGCAACATTGACGTAGCTTTCTCTTTTCTTGCGCCTGTAAAGATTTTTTCTGAAATGACTGCTATTCACACCTGAAAGAAAAGATTAGATCCTTGAATTATCATGACTAAATGCACTAGGAAAAGCATTTTTACAGTGCAATTTTCATTCACTACTTTTTTATATGTTTAAATACCTATGTCGGAAAAATAACCCAGATATATAATATCTATTTTGATGAATAAAACATCCCACTTTTGTCTGCAGTAATGGACATCCTACGAATATCAAAGACATAAAAATAAACATAATAAGATTTTAAAAAATACAGAAAATATGAAATCATTATCATAACAACACAAACATTATGATGTTATCATCATACTTTCATATCTATCACATTATCATTTTTATTTAGAAATCATTATCATAACAACACAAACATTATGATGTTATCATCATACTTTCATATTTATCACATTATCATTTTTATTTAGAAATCATTATCATAACAACACAAACATTATGATGTTATCATTATACTTTCATATTTATCACATTAAAATTTTTATTTAGAAATCATTATCATAACAACACAAACATTATGATGTTATCATCATACTTTCATATCTATCACATTATCATTTTTTTTAGAAATCATTATCATAACAACACAAACATTATGATGTTATCATCATACTTTCATATTTATCACATTATCATTTTTATTCAGAAAGCATCATCATAACAGCACAAACATTATGATATTATTATCATCATATCATCTTTATTGGCATTTGGCAGATTCTTTGTTTATAATTTAGAAAAAATAATTAACTGCTATCACTTGACTGGTTTAACCTTCTTAACTCATATTATAAGACGTATAATACGCATAATCACATAAGATAACAAGTAAAATATTTTGCACATAAACATTTGAAAAAGGCAAAACAAACATGAACTGGCGTGAAGAATAAAATAGTATGAACTACTTATTTATGCGATAAGAAAGCATTACAGACCAAAAATGCGTTTCTTTAAGACACCTATATCTCTATACATTCCTGAAGCTCGCGCTATCCTAAAAGAATGAGATCTTATCTTGTTGTTATCCAGACCAATGAATTTAACAGCATATAGTGGTTGCTTTTGTCGGCGGCGTCGTTGTCGGCGTCGGCGGCGTCGACGTCCCCTTAAGCTTGTCCGGAGCATATGTCAGTCATGATAAGTTGGATTTACTTCAAGCTTGTTATAGTGACCCGAAGTGCAGTGCACAAGAACCGGTACTCGGCACTTCTTAATTTTTGAGTTATTGCCCTTTGTTAATTTTCATACTTTTTTTTGTCCGGACCATTTCTCCTAAAGAATAAAAGCTATGGACTTGAAACTTCATAGGATGATAGATCTCATTAAGAAAAAGTGCAGTGCACAAGAACCGGTACTTTGCATTTCTTATTTTTTGAGTTATTGCCCTTTGTAAATTTTCATACTTTATTTTTGTCTAGGACATTTCTCCTTAAGTATAAAAGCTATGGTCTTTAAACTTCATAGGATGATAGATCTCATTAAGAAAAAGTGCAGTGTACAAGAACCTGTACTCTGCACTTCTTATTTTTGAGTTATTACTCTTTATTAATTTTTATATTTTATTTTTGTCCATGCCATTTCTCATAAATTATAAAAGCTATAGACTTGAAACTTCATAGGATGATAGATCTTATTGATAAGAAGTGCAGTGTATAGAAACTGCTGCTCTGCACTTCTGATTTTTTGAGTAATTGCCCTTTGTTAATTTTCATATTTCATTTTTGTCCCGGTCATTTCTCCTAAACTATATTGTTCACAAGGCGACACATCCGACTTGCGGAGTTCTAGTTGAGAACAACATTGAACTGGTAAGAAGTCAGAGGAGACCCATCAAAACAACAGACATAATAAAAGTTTCATAAATTACAAAAAAGTGTCATATATATGAATCGAATTAACTGTCAGATTACACAATATGTATAGCTTTTACTTATACTTTTGAATCGCTTTTTAAAGTGAAAATGAAATATATTACATGTTTACTACCCAACTACAAACTTTACATTGTGACACATATATAAGAAATAAACCTGAATATATTGAAACATCCAGAGCTTTGTTAGGATCATCTACGTTGTTATTAGTCGAAAACTTGTCGCTACCGTCTTTTGTGTCGATTTCTTTTTTCTTATTTTCTTTTACATGACGTTCTTTATTTCTATTTTCTTCAATAAGCATCTGGTCGCGCGTCTGCAAGACTCGGATGTTAGTTCCCATTTGTTTGTTCTCGGCTTGCAGGGCATTTATTTGTGTCTCAAGAGCTGCCACTTTTTGTCGAAGTTCGGAATTCTCATCAGTTTGGAGTTCACACTTTACTTCTAGCGCGTTTAATCGTTTTAAAACCTTCTCTAAAACATTTTGATCAGAGTCAATTTTAAGTTTGTTTCCTTGCTGCAAACCATTGCACCAAGACAAAAGAATTATCCAACACAATAAAAGCAAAGTCGCTTCTCCGATGAGGTGCATGATTCGTGATTTTAAAATTAGTTTAAAAAGAAATTTTATGGTAGACCATTGCAGACAGTACATTAACTGATAAGATAATGTACAAATGAGGTACAAATGACAATCTTTAGTGCAAATTAATCAAACACATAGTTTGTGACACGTGCTTATCTTAAACTTGAAAAAGTTCAAGGCCCTTGAACTATTCAATGTTAACTCAAACCATTTTTATTCAAAGTTCAAGGCCCTGAAACTAGTCAGTATTAACCTTTTGCAAATTGCTTATTGCATATTGGTAGCCAAGATATTGATTAGAAATTCTAAATTTTTAAATCTTTTCCAAGTTCAAGCGCGATGACTGTCAAAAAATCTGACAATGACAAAAATAGAACTTGACTTGTATTTTCGGGTAAAATACCAACACACGCAATGTCAACCTCGGACATACGTACATTTCTACCAAAATTAAAGCAGAAACTAAATATTTGTTATTTTTTTCTTAGTTCAAGAAGGATGACTCTTTTAAAAAATAATCGGATCAAAACCAAATTCAAGCTTGATTTGTATTTTCTGGTAAAATACCTGCACATGCGAGTTCAGCCTAATACATATATTTCCACAAAAGTAAGAGTAGGAAACTGAAAATTTCATTTTATTTTCCAACATTCAAGAGGGATAACCTTGTCCAAAATCACCGAACAATGACCAAATTCAAACTTTTCTTGCGCATTTCTATAACATATCCATAATTATGTTAAATTTGAGTTAAAATGTGTACAACTGTTGGGGGAAATAATAAACAGAAATGATTTTTATGCTCCCCGAAAAATTTTGGGGGAGCATAATAGTCGCCAGGTTGTCCGTCCGTCCGTCCGTACGTACGTCCCGAATTCGTGTCCGGTCCTTAATTTTGTTACTTGAAGTCGGATTTTACAACTATTTCACAGAAATGATCACCGTATTGAGACGACGTGTCTCGCGAAAATTTGGGTCGCTACCTTGAAGGTCAAGGTCACAGCACGACCTTGAAACAAAATCGTGTCCGGTCCATAACTTCGGTCCATTACTTCGTTATTTGAAGTCGGATTTTATAAATTTTTAACAGAAGTGATCACCATATTGAGACAACGTGTCACAAGCACCATTTGGGTCGCTACCTTGAAGGTCAAGATCACAGCATGACCTTGAAGCAAAATCGTGTCCGGCCCATAACTTCGTTTTTTGAAGTCGGAATTTTCAACTATTTCACAGAAATGATCACCATATTGAGACGACGTGTCGTGCGCAAATTTGGGTCGCTACCTTGAAGGTCAAGGTCACAGCATGGCCTTGAAGCAAAATTGTGTTCGCCCATAACTTGGTTATTTGATGTCGGATTTTACAACTTTTTCACAGAAATGATCACCATATTGAGACGACGTGTCGCGTGCATCATTTGGTTCGCTACCTTGAAGGTCAAGGTCACAGTATGACCTTAAAGCAAAATCGTGTCCGGCCATAACTTCGTTATTTGAATTCGGATTTAACAACTATTTCACAGAAATGATCACCATATTGTGACGACGTGTCGCGTTCAACATTTGGGTCGCTATCCTGAAGGTCAAGGTTACATCATGATCTTAAACAAAAATCATGTCCGGGCCATAACTTCGTTTTTTGGAGTCGGATTTTACAACTTTTTCACAGAAATGATCACCATATTGAGGCGACGTGTCGCGCGCAAATTTGGGTCGCTCCCTTGAAGTTCAAGGTCACAGCATGACCTTGAACAAAAATCGTGTCCGGCCCATAGTATTGCTTTAAGCGCAAAGATATATTGATGATAACATTTCATGATGTCTTTAAAAAAATTAATCATATTTACACTGACGTTTGGAGGAGTCAACAGATTGCAGTAATTTTTGGAACATATGTGTCACATCATAAAATACAAGTCAAGTTTGAATTTGGGTTCACACCCATATATTTAACAAAGTTATGCCCCTTTTAATTGTCAGATCTTGGTTAAAGTAATGGTCACTAGACGATAACTATTTAAGAAGTCAACAGATTTATACTCCTCTAAATCTTCAGATTTTTGAACAAAATGTTTCCAGATGATAACTCCTGGAGGATTGTTATATTTTTTCTATACACATGTGTTTTACTAGAAAAAGTTCAAACTTGGGTTTAGACCACTAAATTTTAACATAGTTCTGTCCACTTTTCATCTTCAATTTTGCGCAAAATAAAGTTTTAAGATGATATCTCATAAAGGAGTCAATTCATTGAAATTATTTTTGGTAGTTTGTTGTAACATTAAAAATACAAGTCAATATGAAATAAGGCTTAACACCACAAAATTAAATTGACACATAGTATTTCAGTTTAGCTAAAAAAATGTCGCTTCGACTTGGATTAAAAATATTTTTGGTACGCAGATGTAACATGTTTTAATACAGGTGGAGTTTAAATTTTGGTCCAGGCCACTATTTTTGTCTCCCGCTTTTTCGAAGAAAAAAGGGGGATATAGAAATAGGCTCCGTCCGTCCGTCTGTCACACTTTCGTGTCCGGTCCATAACTTTGTCATTTATTATAAAACGCAAAGAGGTAGAGCTTAGATATTTGGCATGAAACATCTTCTATTGAGTATCTATCAAGTTTGTTCAAATAAAATCCCTGGGGTCAAAATTGGCCCCGCCCCAGGGGGTCATTGCTTTTCCTTATATGTATGTAGCAAAAAATTAAAAAATCGTCTGTTAAAAAACCGAAAGAGCTAGAGCTTAACTATTTGGCATGAAACATTGTCGGATGAGTGTCTACACAGTTTGTTCAAATAAAAGCCCTGGGGTCAAAATTGGCCCCGCCCCGGAGGATAATTGATTTTCCTTATATGTATATAGTAAAAAAACTTAAAAAGTCTTCTTTTAAAAAACCCAAAGAGTTAGAGCTTCGATATTAAGCATGAAACATCTTCTGGTGAGTGTCTACCAAGTTTGTTCAAATAAAAGCCCTGAGATCAAAATTGACCCCGCCCCGGGGTACTGATTTTCCTTTTATGTCTATAGTAAAAACTTAAAAAATCTTCTCTTAAAAAACCCATAGAGCTAAAGCTTAGATATTAAGCATGAAACATCTTCTAATGAGTGTCTACCAAATTTGTTCAAATAAAAGCCCCAGGGTTAAATTGGCCCCGCCCCGAGGGTCTGATTTTCTTTATATGTCTATAGTAAAAATTTAAAAAATCTTCTTTTAAAAAACCCAAGAGCTAGATCTTAGATATTTATTATGAAACATCCTCTAATGGGTGTCTACCAAGTTGGTTATAAAAAGCCCCTGGGTTGAAATTAGCCCCGCCCCAAGGGCTTATATACAGGTTAGCGATTTCAGGGTCATCATGGCCCTCTTGTTTTTTTTTTAGCTCACTTGAGCTTGCTCAGGGTGAGCTTTTAGGATAGTTGAATGTCATCGACTGTCGTCCGTCCACATTTGTTCGTTAACACTCTAGCGGTCACATCTTTGCCTCAATCATCATCAAACTTTGTCAGGATACTTGTCAAGGTAAATTGCTCAGATGAGTTTGATCATGGGTCATCTCGGATGAAAAACTAGGTCACAGGAGCTAAAAATAGAAAAATCTTATTAATGGCTACTGTTTGGATCATTGTTGTGAAAGTTTGTTTTGATGACTTCTAGGTCAAGTTCGAATATGGGTCACCTTGGGTCAAAACATCATCCAAATATGTAAAAACCTAGTTAATACACTAGTGGTCACATTTTTTGACTCATCAAACTTGGTCAGGATGCTTGTCTAGATAATTGCTCGTATTAGTTCGAACATAGGTCATTTCGGATAAAAAAACTAGGTCACAGGAGCTAAAAATGAAAAAATCTTGTTAACATTCTAGTGGCTGTTTGACCCAAATATCCTGGAAATTGGTCTGGAAGTTTGTTTTGATGATTTCTAGGTCAAGTTTGAATATGGGTCACCTGGGGTCAAAAACTAGGTCACACCGCCCAAATATGGAAAAACCTTGTTTACACTCTAGTGGTCACATTTTTTACTCAATTATCAGACTTGTCCAGAATGCTTGTCAAGGTAATTGCTCGGATGAGTTGGAACATGTGTCACGTGAGCGATCTAGGGCCATCTTGGCCGTCTTGTTGTTTTTTTGGGTCTGGACACTATATATAAGGGTAGTCACCATTTTTGGGTGTGGACCTAGTTTTGGTCACAAATGACCCTAATATAGAGTCCAGGCACCGTTACAACTCCCTTAAATCCAGGTTGTTATTTAACATAAAGAGCTGTCGATTTGACATAAGAATACACTGCTGTAAATATAAATGACAAAGCGAGTCGCTACTAGCTTTTTAAAAGCTAACATTGTTGGTTGTTTTATAATGACACTTATCCGAATTCCAACACAACAACAACAACAATAAACAAACAAAAAATATTCCCCTAACCTACAGCAGTATGAAACAAGGAAATATATAAAGTTTCTTAGTGTTTTGCAGATTTGACTTCCGGGAGGTATATTGAGCAAATTCCTTGGAAATGTAATCGTTTGTGTGTAGGCAGGAATTGTTGTGACACGGTCGCCACGTGCAATTGTGGCACACATACTGGCAAATATGAGTGTATGTGTCCCGCTGGATATTTCGGTAATGGTCTGTTCGGAGGATGTCAAGGTAGGTTTTTCCCACAATTATACTTGTTCCGTTAAAATTATAATAGTTTTGAACATTTAACTGTTTGCAATCCAATTTGAATATATGTACATGTAAGCATTCAAATACACGAATAGAAAGTAATTGGTTATAGTCGTATTTTCGAGTCCTGAGTAAATTACGCTTTATAAGAAGTGTTTTAGACAATTGAGCCGTGTCACAACAAAACCAACATAATGGGCTTGCGACCAGCATGGATCCAGACCAGCCTGCGCATCCGCGCAGTCTGATCAGGATCCATGCTGTTCGCTTACCAACCCTATTACAAGTACAGAAACTGTTAGCGAACAGCATGGATCCTGATCAGACTGCGCGGATGCGCAGGCTGGTCTGGATCCATGCTGGTCGCAAACGCACTATGTTGGTTTTGTTGTGACG